GCAAAAAGTCGTGAATAATATTATTTTTTTGTTTTATAAATCGATGTGGGGAGTTATAATTCGATCAAATCAAAAAGTGAATTTTGAATTTTTTAGGAGTCACGGCATTTTGCATTTCAAACAATGTACAAACGTTTATGCAAGCATATCTAGAATCTAGATCAATGACCTTTTTGATGCACGAACGCACTAATTGCAGTCACAAACACATAGTTTTTCAATCTACAACATCCGTTTGTCGTTTTGATTTCAGTTCCTGGTTGTGCACATTTTCGATGGCGATCGCCGTGGGCGCAGCACTTCTGTTGCCGATTTCAATAGCCAGCAATGAAATTTTGTTGCTGTACCCCAACAGCTACTACGTGAAATGGTTGAATAGCTCTCTTATACAAGGTAAATTCTTAACTGATTCGTAAGCGGAGACATAATCGCTATATGCAATATGTTTTTTTTGTTTTTCAAAGGTCTTTGGAATCACGTGTTTCTATTCTCCAATCTCTCGCTGTTTGTATTTCTGCCTTTCGCGTACTTATTCACCGAGTCCACAGGGTTTGTGGGACATAAGAAGGGCATAATTGCACGCGTCTATGAAACATTTACAGTATTCAGTCTTTTAGCAACGGTTGTCTTGGGCATAACCTATGTACTGTCCGCCGTCATGGATCCGGAAAGAATTGGATTTTTGTCACTGCTAAGTACGTACTGTAGTGATGTACTTCACTTATTTACTTTTATTGCCCAACAGCAGTTGCAAAAACATGGATATCCAGTGTAGCGGAAAATACACCGGAAATCTATTTCCGTAGTGAATTGCATTTGTATTATTTGTGTTCTGTTAATCAATTGTTTCAGTTCAGTTTCAATAATATTCACTGCTGCTTGTTGCATTTTTATTTCCAGATTTGGGCAGTGTACATCTACCATTTCTATACTCCTGCGTTTCATTTCTGGGTGTGCTTCTACTTCTCGGTGAGTAAAAAATAGTACATTGATTTACATACATTTGCATGTCGGTATACATATGTAAATACAAAATTTCGAGTTCTAATGATTAAACATTACACAATATGGGAATCAATTTAAAGTGCTTGGGCTTATTTTTGTATCCTTATTTAGAATTCTGTTCTGAGTTTCTCTTGAAATGCAGCTATGTAGTCAATTTCTTTAGAATTATTCTTCTTTGCGAATTTAATGCTCGTCTCATAATTTTTTTCATCGCCCAATCGCAGATAGGCCGCTGCACGATATAACCAGGATCGTAAGTTCTTTTCGTCTAATTTGTTAATCACGTAGTCAGCATCGATTATTGCGCGTTTAGCATTGCGAAGCCTTTGACGATGTACATATGTAAACGCGTTTATAATAAATTATTGTTCGCCTTTTTTATCTATGTATACTTACTTGAGATAAGAGAGCGCTCGGTTATTGTAAAGTATCGGGCTATCCTTTACGTGTTCTATGGCTTTTGTGTACATTTGTATGGCCTTTTCGTAGTTCTGCTTGCGGAAAGCTTCGTTGCCTAGACTGTGAAGGGTAAAGTCTTTGAATACATTCATCTTCTCGTATTATGCTTTGACTAACTAACCTGCGAAAGTTTTGAGCTATACGCTCGCGTTCCTGCCGCACCTTAGCGCGTTCGGCGGCGTCTTGCTCCATCTGCTGCATGAAGGTATATTTGTCCATTTGCTGGGGACCGCCCTGATCGTTAGGGTCTTTCTCATGGGCCGCCTTCCGATTGAGCACCGTGCGATCCTGACGCACGCTGACAATAAATTTATCCTCATTGATGTCAGACTTACTAACGGAAAAAAGTGAAAATGCGTGTTGGCGCTATAGTAGTTCACTATGACTATGAAGCATTATCTTTTGTCGTTACTTGCTGTAATTGACTTACGTATCTGGCTTTTTTGTACTTTCTGACTCCGATTTATTAGCGCTGGCCATATCCTCAAGTAGTTTCATTACCTGATTGACTTTTGACTCAAAGTCCAGGAAGTCTTCGTCCATATCTCCTTGAGACATAGCACTTTATAATCGTTTTTTAATAAAAGTAATATACGTTTCTGTTTTGCTGGTATAGTTTGCGTTGTGAGGTATAGAAATATATTGTCCTTTATGTTCTCTTTCTTTATTGTTTTGTTCACTTTGACAAATTAGGTTTTTATGTACCCCCGTTTCCAAGGCAAAGGTTTCGATAGTAAATCAAGAAAGTTTTTTATTTATAGATTTACAGTGAGCAGGCAGACTGAATCACTTCTCAGTGAAAAATAGAAATGTTCAGTGATGGACATACATACATACTTAAATACTTTTGTTTCAAGAAACTAAATACCCAATTTAGATATGCTAAATACTCAATACTAGCAAAATTACATTTGAACATTATTTTATACTTACGAACTAATTTGTATAAACTATTTAGAGAATCAGTCTTTGTTTTGGGTTCTAAGATACTTGGTTTTTTACTAAATTATTTTGTTAATTGAATCTATTTCATATATTTCCGTAGTTTGTACACCTCTTGGTTTCGTTCGTCTCTTTGGCGTAATGGGACAAGTGCTGGTGAAGCCGCATCTGCTTCGCGACGTCAATGAGGAATACCAAGTATACTACATGGAAATCGCCAGTGTGAAACGAAAATTAGCGAACATTGAACTGCTGAATGTCAGCATCAGTGGCAACGGTAGCAGCAGCTTGCGTTCCAGTTTGACGCGCAGCTACACAAATGGTGGTGCCGGCGGCTATTACAAACATACATCGTTGGAGCACCTGTATCAACGAAAACCGCTAGATAGCCACCAAAACGAGCATGAAAAGCTCAATCAAAGACTGAGAGAATTGGAGTCTGAAAGTCGAGAGCTGGAAAAGCTACGCAAGTCGTCAGCGTTTCAACGCAACTTTGTCTATCCACTGGCAATGCTATCGTTATTGTTCTTTACGGGAATAACAGTGCTGTTGGTGGTGCAAAATACACTGGAGTTGTTAATTGGAATCAAAGCATTACCTCTTAGCAAAAGAGTAAGTTGTTTTTGTTTTGTTTAGCTCGTCATCAGTTCAAATATAAATTGTTTTTTTTGTTTAGTTGCAGCAATTCACACTTGGCATCACGTCGCTGTCCAAGCTCGGTCCGTTTGGCGCTGGCTTAGAAGTGTGTCTAATATTTTATTTGGGTGCCACTTCGGTCGTTGGGTTCTACACGATGCCTTTTATGCGTCATGTGCGCCCACAAAAACGAAAAACTTCACTCGCCCAATTGATACTCAACTGTGCGTTGGTTTTAATTTTGAGTTCAGCTCTGCCGCTGCTCAGCAGAATTATTGGTGAGTTATAATCTAGACACGAGGCGGCATTGACTCAGATTAAAGGTGCTATGCATACTTGCTGCAAATTGTTCTCTTGCATTTTAGAACGCAATTGCTGCGACGCCGTACTGTTAAGTGACATTGGTGTATATCAAGTCTAATCCTAAATCTGTAATTGCACCTTTAATCCGGAGTATGGTTGTTGTCTGAATTAACTTTTAAAAGCCTTAATTATTGCCTTTCGATTCTTTTTTTTTGTGTAACTCAATTATTGAACATTTTCGTTGCAGGTATTACGAACTTTGATCTGTTGGGTGACTTTGGTGCCATAGAATGGCTCGGCAACTTTCAGATTGTTTTACTTTACAATTTGATCTTTGGCACCACGACGGCGCTTTGTTTGGTTAATAAATTTACAGCAGCTGTGCGTCAAGAGTTGTGTGCGCGGTTAGTAGAGAACTACGTGCTCTTCACCAATTACATGTCATTCATTAATTGATATTTATGTCATCGGCGCAATCAAACCTTTTCTAGTGACCGTACCACCCAAATGTCGATGAGTAAGCAACGCTTACTTTTGCATGGCATTATTACGGGTTTGGGCAGTGGTTTTGTTGCGTCGCAAATAACTAAGCTGGTAGGTTACTATTATGATAGCAATGCAGTTGAAGCAAATACTAACGGTGATGTAGAGAGTTGAAGTGGGTTAGAGCAAAGCTTGGCTGCGACCCTCACAATAGTCGGCGATACATTTTCCGTAAAGGAGCGGAAATATAAAAATTACCAATCCACGAATGCCATTGCGACATTAAATTTCGGCGCATTTCACTATAATAAGTATTTATTTATCAGAAGGATTCTCCCAAATTCTCTTAAACGATTTTATGTTTAGTCAAAAAAAAAAAAAAACGTTTTATCAAAAATTTAACTTATTGTATTTCGAATTTCGTTAGTTTTAATTTCTTTGGAATTAGTTAATTAAAATTTTTTAAAACTTTTTTGTATGTCTATAATGTAAACAAGTCTTTAAATAAATAAGTAGGTACACTAGTAAATACATACATACCTACATACATATGGCTGAGCTTTCCAATAATACGTATTTAGAAAAAACCTTTCGGTAATTCGAAATCCTTTCATAGTTTGGCAGTTTATTCCATTTATTGAAATTAAACTTGTACAACCGTTATTTTATTTTAATTCGAAACTTGAAACTCATTTAACAAAAGCAAAAAAATGTCAGTCTAATTATTCGTAAAGGCGAAACGAGCTAGTCAGAGCACTTCCTTTAAACATTTTAAAACTTTCATTTACTAACAAGTAACAACTGCATGCTCGGTCTTTGTATCGAAATATGTATCTACATGCGTTGCCATTAATCATCCAATGAACGCTAGAATAAGGTTAATTTATATTTATAGTATCGGCTACTATTATTAGGTACCAATTTTATAACATACGCACGCATATATGTACGTACATATTTTGTATATCTCAGGGACCGTAACGATTATATATGTAAACCTTTTGTGTGTGTTTTTTTTTTTAACAAAATTTAAACTCAGAAAGTAACTTTTGAAGTTGATATTTTCCCGAGTCACAAAGATAAGCTATTTCAGTACGATTTTTTAATAGAAATTTGAGAAATAATCGTTATTTACGGTCTATGGTATTTCTAGTTGGGGCATAGTGCCATCAAAAATTGATTCCAAATTAGTGAATTTCAACGAACACACATATTAAAAATGGCCAACACGATTTTATTATATATGTACATTTGTATATTAAGATCATTCAGCGTTATTCTGATATAAATGATTTGCTCATGTAATTTTATGTGATATGAAAATACACTATTGTAATGTGTTAAATAAAAACTGCATGTTGAAAAGTAATCAAACTAAAGTGTATTAATTTTTCACCAACTTTAAAAGCACTTATATTCATCCATTCGCACTTGACAACTGATCGTCCACGCATAGTTAATCCTATAATTCAAATATCAAAAGCTTATCGTTCCAAATTTCAATTAAACTTTAGTGACCTAAATAAAGAACTTGCAATTTAATTTTATTTACAGGCTGACTTCGATGTTCCTGTATGCATAGAAGTTTCTTCGTTTGGATGTCGCGTTATTTTGTTTTCTGGAAATTATAATTTCTTTAATCGATATACTGTGATTGTAATGCTAATGCATAGATAGAAAATAGTTAAAATATTAATCTTAAATAAATTCAATATAAGGAAAGTCTATGTTTCATTGTTTATTGCGCAAATGAATGGATTTTATTCGTTTTAAACTAAAAGAACGAAGTAACAAAACATTAAAATAGTGCTTGTTTGGTCATATGTAGTGCTAATGAGTGTACATATGTACGTATTTGAATTTGTACTCGTGGGTGTCTATAGCCGTATTTTCTATATCTCGGAACCATAACAACAACGTTTACTTATACTCAACAAAGCTATGCTATTTAGTATAACTGCATAAAAAAATTTGAAATAACAAAAAGCTGGAACCCTTGTTGGTTTAAACTTGGCATGGATTTTTTTCTGTTTCTTCATTTTCTTCGTACGTAGCGAGGGTGCCCATCAACGTTTTCTCATGCCCGCCTAAGCCTCTATCGTCACATCCTTCGCTCGCGTTTACAACTTCGTCAAAATCACGCATATCCAACTCATGGAGGGCTTGTTGCACCATAGCAGCTAGCTCTGGGGGCAAGTCTTTCAAATCATTATGTCGCTCCCTCGCGATTGCGCTGGTTATGCGCGGGTTGCTCGTACTGACGTTCACTCTTCTGCTGGAATTGCCACCCGAGTCCGTGGTAGTCGACGGTGACGTTTCGTATGCATGCATGGCAGCATTTGTGAATTCGCTGAGGCTGAATGTGCCTATAGCCCCTGCAAAGCCACCGTATTCTGAAGACATTATGCTGCGCCCAGATTCTGTTGATAATGAATCCACAGAGTCGTCTGAAATACCGACTCGCGAAGTTTTATTTGAGTCTTCTCGTTCCGTTGTCAAAGTTTCTGAATCGTTAATTTTAAGGACAACCGAACATTTCGTGTTGGTTGTGGTGGTTGTTGTCGCCTCCGTTTCGATGACGTTACTGGAATCAACAGATGAAGCACTGTAACCCTGAAGTAAGAATTGAGAGGGTGAATACTCGCTATTGCAAGAGGATGCAGTTCCACTCATGTCGCCAATGCCGGCTAGGCATTGTATGCGTTGGTCCAGCTCGGCAATTTTAGCTGCAAGAATTCTGCAACAAAAATGTATACATGTATATTATACAAACATCCTACACATGATAATGGTGGCAGAAGAAATAAAAGGATAGGATTAGAGTGAACATAAGTATTAACTATAAACACCGCCTAAACAATATGTTCACATCGTTTCTATAACAAAAACTTACTTGTTAGTTTTCTTTTGATGATTAAGAGCGATATGCTTGTCGTTTAAATTATCTAGCAGCGCCAAACAGAGTGATTTCAAGTCTTGAATAGTCTCTGTTTTTGTAGGTAAGTCCACGCCACTATCAAGCATTGTTTTGACTGCAATTATACATTAACATTAATATTATTTAAAGTTTTTACTGTTAAAATATTTTGCAGTGAACGGAAGAATACATATCGCTAATTTACGGAAATGTTGTCATAAATAAAAAAAAAAAGAATTTTTCAGCGGGCACACTTAAGGTTTTTTATATGCTACCAAAATGCATCGCTATTGCCTTTTACGTGGAAACTACAAAATATTTTACGCAAAATTGTTAGAAATTTGCCAAACAAATTTCTTTATTTGGGTTATAAAAGTATGAATGAGGGATATTTAACACAAGTTTAATATAAGGTCCTGGTACATAATATGTACTATATGTAAGTAAAAAAATTGTATAAACGAAAAAGGTAGCTAAAAGAGTGAAACACAACATCAATGGTGTATTATGCACCTCTTTACCTTGTTTATGGGACAAAATACTTTCATCATTTGCATGGGAACCTAGTTTAATAATACCCTTTTTACGCTTCGTTTCCAACATAGTCTTTGAAGCATGAAATAAGTTAAATTAAGTTACATATTAGTTTATACAAACGACTAAGACCAAATAAAGCAGACCAAATCAGCGTTTTTTATGTTAGTATTTTATACCTTGTATTTGTTAAGAGATTGCTTTGTTATATCCAATTCGCACTCAACATTTTTTGACCGTTCGTGTAGGTACTTATTTTCTAACAATACGCCATCAATATCGATTAGCTATAAAAATTAGAAAAGGTATTATTGCGTGATATAGCTTTAATGTAAATTTCACAAAAAACATATTCTGCCAGTGTCATAATCCAAAAACCAAAAACTGCAGAAAAACGGCTTTAAGGGTTTGAATTTACATACATACATGTGTATATGCACGCTCATAGTAGAAATCAATACATATTTTGTTCTAATGAGGTACTGGTAATCGGTACATCTATGGAATTTTTACACAACATAGAACATCTCTGTATACCTAACTAAATTTTTTTTTTTTGGATTATGACACAGAAAATGTGCGATATGTACCTTAGGATGTGATTCGTTGGCTTTTAGTGCATTTAGCAGTTCATGATTCAGCCTATGCGCCTTGCATTTGTAAGCATCACGTTCTGATATAATATCCTCTTTTTCGTCTATTAAAGTTTTTAGATCAAAGGCAAGCTGTACATTCTAACAAGAGGAACCTATCTGGATAAACTTTTTTTTACTTGTATTTGGTAATACACTATTTACCTTCTTTTTCAGGTTCTCCAAATGACAAATAAAATTCGAACGCTCCCCCTTCCATTGCACAGCTTCCGAATTGCTTGATTCAGCAATCAATTCATTTTGCAATCTTTCCGATTTTGCTTCCTTTGTAGCAGACCTTAGGAGTTCGATATCACCCTGCAGCTCGTTTAACTTTTGCTTCAGAGATTCTACTTCCGTGGTGAGCTTTATATTTCTCTCTCGCGTTTCGTGCAGTATTGATGCTACACTAGTTTTATTGCCCTCCATTCCAACCCAACTGCTGTATTCATTGTTACGTGTTATAGCTGAATAACGTAGTTGCAAGGTCTCCGCCATTAATTTGAATTGATCACGCTCGGTTCGAAATTGTTCCAGCTCCTTGCGTAAAATACGTAGTGCTTCCACTTTACTCACCAATTTCCTATGTAAAGCGGAAGTCTGCAAATAAACTTAATTATCAAGTCTAACTACTGTTCACTGATTTGTGTATAAATTCGAAAAAAGGACAAAATATCAAATTATCCATAAAGAAAGCGGCGACACACAACCGCTGCTTTTCCCCCCCCCAAGAGCCCTAAATAATCAATTGAGGAACTCACATTGAATTCTCCCATATGTTCGCGATAAAGCTCAAAGTCAACCGAATCCACATGGTTTTGCGATTGGAATTCATCGTTGGAAATCATTTTCTTGTCTCTAGCACTATTTATGAGATTTCGGGTAAAATTTTATAAACCGAGCTAAAATCATTTACAAAAACGAAAACTTCGGTGAAAGTAGTGCCGGAAGATACATCGATGTAATATCGATACATCGAAGTTTTTGAATTTATTTCAAACATCGATGTTTTTTTCGATGTTCGATGTTTCTCTCTATACCCATCACATAGGTAAGTGAAAATCTACGAGCACAATTTTAATAGATAATTATAGCTTAGTAAATACAAATTATTATTTCTTCAGGTTATTGGTGTTGGCACAACTTGAAATCTTTAAGTCGCAGGCTTCTTTGTGGGACTGTTTATGTGTATGTTTTCAATGAAAATCTTTCATCTTATGTGTATGTAGGTATGTAAGTGTGTTTTCTAAGGTAGTTCCAATAATTCGAATTCTGTTTTACTGAATTATTAAGAAATTGACAAATTGAAATTTACAAGACTTTTAATAAATTTTCAGCAATTTATGTCAATGGCTGTGTTTATAAACACAATAATGCAAAATATCACTATTTTAAATCAAAGTCCAAATTGAACAAATTTATCTTGTATGGTTGTGAAATTAAAGATACTGATGGTTTGCATATCTGCGTTAATGAATTCAGCCAACATTTAAAAACTTCGCCATTTAAAGAGGTCGATGCATCGATACATCGATGTTGCTCCCCAAAAACATCCAGCACTAGCGGAAGTATATGAAACGATACGAGTAAATACAAGTACATAATCGATAGGTCTCGTTCGATAACAAGTAATTTTGATATCGATACTTTTAATCCAAGTACTGAGTAGGGTAGATCCCTGCAAAAATCGCGACTACTCCATGCATGCGTGTAAAGAGTATCCCCTAAGGACCAAGGAATACTCCAAAATTAACCACAATTCATATAAAAAATATGACCCCATTAACATTGTGATGTCCTAGGGCAGGACCATATACTCCATCCCTGCATTACATGAGAGTAGCACAAAACTACTCCAAAATACTAACAATGGAATTGTTGTTATATTTTTTCGTTTGTACATGCTTTTGTTCTTCACTTCACAGATGCTTTTTCGTAATTAATAAAAACCAAAAAGAAAAATTAAAAATTACATGTTGCCTCTGACGGCATTCGAACCCGAACATGCTGGGAGCTAACAACTAACAGCGAACACCCCTACACGTTCAGCTACAGACAGATACGCAAATGTGCTTTCAACTTCTTAACTTAAATTACATTTCGTTAAAACACGAGCGGTGATCGGGTAACACATAATAAGCTGGCGCGGACACACCAGTTGGTTCGCCACAGCATGACAGGGGAACACTTTTGTAAGTACTCCAATAAACCACAAATAGACTATATGGTCCAACGATTTTTGCAGGAATATAGCTATTGGTTCCGTACAAGGCGTATTTAACAGGTGATAGCAGCACCCTTTTATTTTTCTTCGCCTCACGGCTTCATATGTCAAATTGCTGCTGGTGATTGGTTGGAGCAGTTGATCCTCTATTGTTTTCTGTTCTCTTTCACATCCTTCGTATGAAGTTTTTGACAGTCCTCGCCACAAAAGCAAAAACAAAATACATGTACATTTTGTTATTGTCGTACCGATAGCACCTTATTGAATACGTCTTGGTTCCGTAATGGAAATCTCAGCCAAAACTATCAGCTTTTTGCGTTCGCGTACGAAAAAAACTTGCAAAGTAGGGGAAATTGAGAGAGCAAAGTTACATTTCATTTTGCGGGGAAGCTGTTAATTTCTGCTGATCAAAAACAGCTGGTGGGAATTTACGCAAATCACACAATTGTGATTTGGTGCTTGGTTTGGAAGTTAGAATCGATAAAATGCTACTAATTAAACTTGTAAGAACCAAAGAACGTAGATAATAAGAAGGGGCAGCTAGTTATAATTGTAGCGGAAGTGCGCAACAGTGGCATGTCTTCTCTTTTCTCGCTACAATTATAACGAGTTGTCCTTTCTTATTATCTACGTTCTTTGTAAGAACTAAGTAGTTATTCGTTTAATCAATAAACTGTGTCAGGATAACACTTGGTGATGAGTTTTCGTACGTTTTAAACTTTATACTTTTGAATGTAAAAAAAAATTTGATCAGCTGTTTTAATTCTATCTCAGTTATAACATTACTTTATTAAAATTTTGCACGAGACTGTGTTTTAATATTATTTTAACTATTTCTTAAAATCATCGAAATTTGTTCATAATAATATATCGTCGCTTGGCGCGCAATAACTTGTAACCGCCGAATACAATAAAACGTATGAAGTGGCTGAGAAAAAAAATTATTTTCGGGACCAATAATTTTATATATATTTAATAAGTTCAGTTAAAAAACCATTCAGTTTAAAGGAAATTAAGTTTATTTGCACTTGAGGTATTGCGCGTCAAGCGACGATATAGTTTCCATAAAACTGATTGTTCATATATGAGGCTTTTTACTACGAAATATATCAATAATAAATTAGGGTGATTTTCAGAAATACTAATATTAAAAAACAGTCACGTGCAAAATTTTAGAAACATAACTTTGGGGAATTATTTAAAAAAAGGTAAAATTTTCCATTACCATTACTTCCAATCCAATCAACGGGAACGCCATTGGATTTAGAAATCCGCAATAAGGTACGAGTAACTATCAAAACCTGTGCTCAAGAAAAAAAGTTCAAGATCCGAGCACAGTTTTAATATATATACAAAACAAGAGAGATTGGATAGATATCGCAGATGTCGAAGGCTGCTTTTTATGAATGGAGACACGGAAGACTAAAACTTCCACCATTGTTATTAAAAAATTGTTATTAAAAAAAAAACGCTCCTTGCTTTCTCCGCTTTTCTTCCATTTTTCTTCTAGCTTCGATGAAAATCTACTGATCTCAGAAAAATCATATTTCAAGGTTAAAACTTTATAAAGCATGCTATTTTTGTATTTTTTTTTTAATTTTTCGGCCATTCTTCCAAAATGTTTTTTCCGATATCAAGTAGGAATGATTTCGAAAATAATTAGAAAGAAAAGTTGTACAGAATTATGCAGATAGAAACTGTCTTATTTAGAACATATAGAGCCACAGCTATGATATATATATAAAGTTTAGACTGGGGACAGGTGGGGAAATACTACTTTCATATTAATAAACGCAAATAGTTAAAAAAAATCGAAAATTGAGATTTGCACATTTTTTCTTCACTAATAAATAGTGATAAATACAATATAATATAGAAAATAAATGGTACTTACCTTTGGCTTGCAAATCCATTACAAACATAAAGTAAACATACCTCTATAAAATAATGGCATGCAAAATAGCAATAAGTCCACGTTTTTTTTCTGAAAAGAACAATTAATTACTTATTCTCGAACAATAATCATGCAAACATATTATCTAATTCATAAGAATGAGAATATTGGTTGTCATTTTCAATATTTATATAACAAAAATTCAGTGTCGACTTTTGTGCAGCTAGTTTGTCCTATTCGAATCACTGTGCGTCTGCCACGCTATTACTTTGTCCCTTGAATCAATCTGTTTTGGAGTGATGATAAATTTTTGGAACGGAGTGTTTCGATTGTTACCATAGTTGTCAGTTCATTGATCATTTACCTCGAATAATCAACTAGCAACCGGTAACAATTGTTTATTGTTAGTAAACAATCTTTCGGATGCCGGTAATCAGCTGATCTGATGACGGGTGTACATTCATACATATACAAGGTAACCCACCAAACAATTTGTGTTGCCAGCAATAAGAAAACGTGTCGCCCTCGGAAACAAATTTATTGCCGGTAATATTGCCATCGAATCGATTTCCTATTACCGGTCGCTCTAAAACGTCCGCCGAAGGCAACTCGCCTGGGCGAGTCGTTTTCTTATTACCTGAATGAGCCCTTTTCTTATCGCTTCAGGCGATTTTTGGAATAATTTTATTCTTTTTAATAGTTCATTTATTTTTTTGTACCAAATTCCAACTTACAATCGGAATTAATTCATTTTCTCGCTGTGCGACTTCCTATTTTTTCAATCTTGTCCTTGGGCATAATTTAGATGCTTTTGGCCAATACTATTGACGCCATATTCATAAGTTTCGGAATTTTTGAGAACTTTTTTATTCAAAATTGACATGAACGAAGTGATGTTGCCGATTTGTCACCACAGCAATAAATCGGTGAGTCGCCAATTTGTTGCCATTGACGATTGTTGCCTATTTCTCATGTTATGCATGGTGGGTAAGTACTTAGATACGTTAAGTTCACAGACCCTTGGTTATATTGTAGTAGTGCGAAGAATTTACATTATACAAATCTACGTACATACATACATACATCAGACATACATACATACATATGTTTGTATTAAAAGCATTCAACAGTTTTGTAAACATTCTTGTTTCCTTTAGTTACATCTTCTTTATTGCCGCTGTAACTTCCTAAGCGATTTTGGTCGTGTCCAAAACAGCACGCCAGTCCTTTATCTTCTGTGCCAATAGGAAATGCCAAGTGAAGCCAAGTCCTTCTCCACCTGGTCTTTCAATCGCAGAGAAAACCTTCCTCTTCCTATGTTACCAACATCGCGGCCCGCTTTAAACTCTTTCAGAGCTGGAGCGTTTCTGTTCATTCGTTCGACATGATCTAGCGAGCGTGGCCGTTGGGTTTCAATTCGCAGCACTATTTCTATATCGTCGGAATCATTGTCTCGAAAGGGGTCGAGCGAAAATGCAGGATGTGGATGAATCGTAACACAACATACAGGGGACCCTGTATGCCTAGCCACTCCCACATCAAGACCATAGTGCGCGAAATGCATCCTTCAAGAGGTGAACCTGTTTCTACAGAACATTATGGATCTAGACCCGGAGGGTGTCAAATTTACCCTCTCCCCCGTAATCCAGGGTGTCATGCGTCACCGAGCCCATTGGAAGGTTTGCAGTCAGGGAGCATTCCTTGCTGCGGCATGAGGCTCTGCCGTGGTCCACCGTTTTTTCCCCTTTCCTTATTTTCCGGCCACCGAAAGGCCAAAGGTGGCCAAAGAACCAGAATGATGAATACAATAAATAAAGAAGCCTCGGAATCCTGCAAGGGTAGTGCCGCCGCTGGACACGGCGATGAAAAGTCCAAAACACCAACCACCTCGGAAACCGCATTGACGGAACCGAGAGGACCTGAACGGCCCAAGCAGCTTCGGGCTTCCCCAGAAGCTGGAAGGCTAAACCCCCAGGGGGAAAGCGAACCTCCAGGGATGCCGGTGGTACTATACCCCATGAGGGAAAGTCGAAGCCGGCGGGAAAGCTGCGGAAGGCCCCTCTTCGAA